ACTATTCTCACCCGTTTGTCCATTTTGCCATGTCATGTATTAAGCAAAAGATAAACTCAAAAGAAACACGCGAATCCCTTCACCGCAGCAGTTAGTACATCTCTCACGTCAGCTGGCACATGCAGGCATGAGTCCTTTTGCACCCCGCCCCCGTTTCGTTCAAAAGTAGTGTTGTAAAATGCTCTGTATTGTTGCGACTCCAGGCCCAGCGGGTCTCAGTTTAATCGCGGGCCCCCGTCCTAGGACCCATCGTCGAACAAGTCAGATGAGGCGCTCGTAAAAACGACAACAATTTATTTACGTGGTTAGTAACCGCGGATTCGAAAGGAGAACGTGAAGTCGAGAACTGTACAAGAAAACTGGAGAACTTCTGAACTGTAGAACATAAAATACACAAAAATCTTCCGCTTATATAGCGCCACGTGGCTAACCCTGGGCGCATTGCCCGGTACTTCAGCCAAGACGGTGCTCCTTGGCCTGCGTGATCCACTCATGAAGGCGGGGAAAGACACAACACAATGCATGGGGAGAGGGCACAGTCTACAGGATGCCCAAATAAGGTCACAAACGCACTGCGCCGACGTTTCGCACACAACAAGATTTCGCGCACGTCCGATGATCTTGGGTGAGGTTCGAAAAACCGGCTGCCAGTACACGTGTCAAACTTGCCTGACTGTGTTTGGGTATGACAATGTAGTGGTGTGCCAGCATATCGTCAAAATATGCCACTCCATTCAGCCGATCCTATGGAGAAAAGGGGGAAGGAGGAGTAGTCAACTAATCCCTCGTCGTCGAGGAGGGCTCTCCCAAGGACTGCAGCAGATAGTGCATTATCTTTTCCTTCAACCCCACATTCCATTCCTCGTTGTTTGCTAGAAGCTGCGGCTTAGCTGCGAATATCCGGGTCTCCGCTTCTCCTCGCAAGGTGCAGCCATAACCAGTTTGTTTTTAGCATTCAGCCCAAACTGCAAATACCACGCGGGTTCCGATCTTTCCAGATCCTTGGTGACCTCGAAAATGGCCCAGCTGCCTCCTTGTTTGCTTCGAAAGCCTTGCTCGCGGCAAACACAAAGGCCTTTCTTGAGTCGAGCTCACAATGGCCTTTCTTGGCTCGTGCGTTTTCTTGGCGCGAACCAGTCGTGGACACCTTGTTCACGTCTTGCTGACAGGAAATCAACCCGTCTGGACGGCCCACCCTCCCGTTGAATGCATCGAAATATTTTCGTTCAGTTCACAACGGCCGAAAGACTTCAATATGGATTACGGTCCTAACAGTATACAGTATCTTTACGTCAAGTGTCACGATTATTGGATTTGCCAGTGTATACCACATACAAGCGCAGTTATACATTGCACACATGTACTCGGGTAGTTTAGCCAGAACTTGGAGATGCCAACAAGAGACTGTTTATACTTTCTAGATATTTTCAAGTGCTGACTGTGCTACAGTAATTGAATCCAGTGCATTCCGTTCTCCTATTACGCAAGAAAAATTCAAAAACAGAAGTGATTTGTTGCTGCAAAAATATTATTTGTACATTTGGTGGTGTTTTTGGAACCCCATCCCTTTTTGTTGTTTTTTTTTTAATGGCAAAGGCTGAGCATTCTTTTAAAGTGGCATTTCAACAACTTCTAACCAAAATGGCTGATCCCACGTACAGTGGGGATTGCTCATATGCGAAGCACGAATGAGAAAGGTCGATATGCCACTTTAATATCACCACAACGTAACGAAGCTGACAGACGTATACAGTAAACAACAGCAGTAATGTTCTGCGCACTCACGCATCTAGATAAGGTACAAGTATGTTGTTTATAGTCGTGTAGCGAGGGCGCCACTAACGTTTGCAATACCACTACCAGCAGTGGTAGGCATATAAATTATGCCGTACATGACTTTCATGTCGTGATTATTACGTTTGTGCCTGGCACTTGTTGTGTTCGTCGTCCATTCAGGTCACGGAATACCACATTTGGTGTACGCGAAGGTAGCGAAACGGCCGTGAGCGCGCTATGACACATAGAATGTAGTCATCTTTTACATGACACGCATGCCATCACTATCATGTTTGAACCAGTCATGTTCCTTTATCGTCCGTTCGCGTCACGTAACACCAAATTTGATATATGTGAAGTTATCGATCACGAGCGTGTCGTGTAGTCATGTTCTTACATGACACGCATGTCATGATCATCATGTTTGCACCAATCATATACCTTCGTCATTGATTCACGTCACGTAGTACAAAATTTTGTACATGGGAAGTTAGCGAATTGACCGCGAGCGCACCATGAGCGCGGCGTGTAGTCATGACTTACATGAAGAGGAACCGGAGGGAAAGGAAAGGCAGGGATGTTAGCCAGTCTGGAGCGACCGGTATGCTACCCTACACTGGTGTTAGAGATGAGGGAGTTTGAAAGATGGAAAAAAAGAGAGAGGGGAGAGCACTGACACGTGTTGAGCTCACAAATGCTGATGACTCGAAACATGATGACGCGCATTAACTGACGAAAATCCGAAAAGACGCGGTTTTAGTCCACTGGAGTTGCACTGAATGATGTATGCTTGACATGCATGTCATGATTACCACGTCATAGCCTGCCACTTATGTTCTCCATGCAGTCATGTCGTACTATAGCAGTTTTGCAATACGTCATGGGAACGAAACTACCGCAAGAGCAGCAAGACATTGACATTAATAGCATACATGTCCTGATTTCCGTGTTATGACTATTTACTTACGCTCGTCATACAGTCGTGTTATTTCATACCACTTTTGGTATAAATCACATAATCGAAACGGTCAGGAGTGCTGAAAGTCGTACGCGGCCAGACAGACAGACACACAGATAAAACAACTAACTAGACAACTAACTAGACAACTAACTAGACAACTAACTAGACAACTAACTAGACAACTAACTAGACAACTAACTAGACAACTAACTAGACAACTAACTAGACAACTAACTAGACAACTAACTAGACAACTAACTAGACAACTAACTAGACAACTAACTAGACACGACAGGACAGACAGACAGACAGACAGACAGACCGACAGACAGACAGACAGACAGACAGACAGACAGACAGACAGACAGACAGACAGACAGACAGACAGACAGACAGACAGACAGACAGACAGACAGACAGACAGACAGACAGACAGACAGACAGACAGACAGACAGACAGACAGACAGACAGACAGACAGACAGACAGACAGACAGACAGACAGACAGACAGACAGACCAGACAGAAGATAGATAGATAGATAGATAGATAGATAGATAGATAGATAGATAGATAGATAGATAGATAGATAGATAGATAGATAGATAGATAGATAGATAGATAGATAGATAGATAGATAGATAGATAGATAGATAGATAGATAGATAGATAGATAGATAGATAGATAGATAGATAGATAGATAGATAGATAGATAGATAGATAGATAGATAGACAGGACAGACAGACAGACAGACAGACAGACAGACAGACAGACAGACAGACAGACAGACAGACAGACAGACAGACAGATAGATAGATAGATAGATAGATAGATAGATAGATAGATAGATAGATAAATAGATAGATAAATAGATAGATAAATAGATAGATAAATAGATAGATAAATAGATAGATAGATAGATAGATAGATAGATAGATAGATAGATAGATAGATAGATAGATAGATAGATAGATAGATAGATAGATAGATAGATAGATACGCTCAAAGTCGCCGAAGTTCGCTGAGAAATGATGCGCATTTTAAAACTTCAACAGTTGTATTTTTGCTCTGTCGCGGAGCGTAGATAGCTCTGCTCCGTGAAGAAGCTCAAAAGGGGGAATTCGTTCGCGTAAAGCCGTTAAAGGTGTCATGTTTCTGTACCCTTTGCACGGCACCAGGTATGTAACACCGCATGTCGGGCCCCTTTAATATAGCATATGCCCTAACCTGCGAACTTAGCACAAGGACACATCTCGACTGTTTTTATAAGCATTCGCATCAGATTCCAGTTGTAGAAAAAGTTGGCGTGGTCCCCAAAGACGATATTATATTGTGACTCTTGTGCACCAATATGTCGGCCGTTTAAAGAAATGATTTGTCGGTTCTGTGCATCTGACGTTAGATTACAAACGCCTTGGAACGTCAGACACACCCTAAGAGCTGTTTTCATGTGAATGACCGTACATGGGACATTTAGTTCAATTGTCAAAGACGCAAACTTTTAACAGTGTAAAATGGCGGCATGCATATGCTTCCGGAAGATAGTCTACAAAATGTCGTCACATATATGCTGACATTACGTTTTTGTACAAACTAAGTGAAGAGCACCTCAGTAATCTCATAAGTACGAATATGACTTTGCAGATAACCGAAATTCGATATCGCGACATTCAAAATTGAGAAATCGTACGAGTATACTACAAGATAGATAGATAGATAGATAGATAGATAGATAGATAGATAGATAGATAGATAGATAGATAGATAGATAGATAGATAGATTGATAGATAGAGAGAAATAACAAAATAACGGTGTTCTTGAATTCAATATAAAAATCGTCTCCAGATGTATCGCACGCAAGATAGCCCGCGCCACCGACACAGCCCCACCGAAAGCCCACTGCTCTGCACAGCTTACCTACTCCTCATCCCCATCGGATCACCTGTTCCCTCCCTTCTGGAGTCGCGCGCGCTTTTTTTCCTTTCCTTCTTTTCGTTATTTCTTTTCCCTCGAGCGCGGGCCAGCCGTCGCGCGAACGCCTTTCGAGCTAGAAGGACAGCGCCGACACTGCACACGGCGAAACACAAGAGCGGAAAACCAACACAGTGGGAAGATCCCTCCTCCAGCGTCGCGTCGGTCGGTGGCGGTGGGCTTCGCGTCAACGTCACCTCCGCGAGCGGCGCTGCACAGCGTGACGTCACATACGGTGCTCGTGACGTCACGAAAGCGCGCGCGCCGCACACACACACACACAACGTCGTTCGACGCGCGCGCCCGTCGGCCTCTAGTTGATGTCGAGAGCGTCGCTGGACGCGCGCGCGCGTATCTCTCCTCGCCCGTCGGTCGGTGGAGTATTTTTTGTTTCTTTCGAAGCGCTCCTCGCTCGTTCATCGCAAGCCGTGCAACAAGGATTATCGTGAAGTCGTGCGACGGGAGCACGCCTGCGGCGTACGGGACTGCAGAGAAGAAGACCTTCGTTGCGCTAATAAGTGATGATGATGCCTCCGGCAATGCGTGCGTTCGTTCTGCTCTTGCTGGTGTTCTTGTCCGGTGCGGTCGGAGTTGCGGTCGCTGCTAGACGTCGCGGCGGCGGCGGTAAGCCGCCCATCGTCGAGGAGGCCACACGGAGGAAGCTCAACAGACAAACACGTGAGTTCCTTTATCAGCCGGGCGCTGTAATAGACATACACCTGAGTCTTTTTGACCCGCCGACACGACCACGGCGCTCTTCATATTGCTCTGTCGTCTGTCGTTCTGTCTATCGCCTTCACAATCCACGTGTGCGCGAACGACGCGTTCTCCTTAAAAAAAAAAAAAAAGCGGGAAAAGAGGAAAACGACGCGCACGTGGGATGTCTTTTTTTTTTTTTTACTCGCGTCGCATCACCCGCGGCACCGTGCCGGGCGTAACCTGGCGTGCTTTGACGCAGGAGGTGCCTCGGGTTGTTTATACGTTCCTCACTGTAGTTTTTCTGCTCTATAAGGTTGAGATAGAGGATCCCTCTCAAATATAACGGAACATGGACGATATTGACACCTGTTTGCCGAGTTTGCGCTTATCGATATAGAGCAACTCTTGATAGCAAAGCACGCCGATTAAGTTCGATTCAATAATTTCGTGACAGTCAGAAATCAACTTATAGGAATGTAGCATTACATTCTTGTAAAGAAGAGTGCCGATGATTATCTTTTGCCAATATATGCGCGAGTTCATCTACATAAACTGTTGCGTCTTGGCGTTACGTACAGTCATCAGAACAAGCTGGTGAAAGAAAAGATTTTCATAATTCAGTACTTATGAGCAGAGGTGGCGCATTTAGGTGCGCCTGTTTAAATGACTAAGTTTGCGTTCTCTCCGCGTGATCACCGGAATTCCAGCAATGCTGGAGCTCTGGCAGAGCCGGGATGGTGTAGGTAGTGACTTTGGGGAATGCAAAAAGAAAGCGCTGATTTCTACAACCCTATAGGGAGCACGACTATGAGCCTCATAATGAAGAGCACCAACCTATAGTCCACCCTCCCCCCCTCTCTCTCCGTGCGCTTCAAAAGTCATTGTTCAGTCGACGACGTAGAGTTATATACCACTGACATGCGAGCAAAAGTAGAGTAGCTTGCACTAAACCCCTTTTCTGTTGATCTGAATGACTTCGCAGAAATAACTTTAGCCGCTGACACACGGCACCGCACTCAATTCTTAGGCGGCTTTAACTCTGGTTTCCGAGATAAAGAAGCATATCTGCAACAGCTCCAAAGGGGATTACGACCCCACTCAGGAACCTTCGTCGAAAGGCTGCATTAGTGAGATGGTTACGCTGTATACGAGCATACGCGCTTTACGATCGAAGTGCAGAAGAGGGTCCTTTTTGAGAAGCAGATTAGAGAAATTTTCGAGGAGGGGGATGCTTCTTTGTGATGGGTCACTGCGCAAGAACGCCTTCCCGGAAGATATAAATGAGAACAAACAGACAATGATGCCCAGCATTACGCGTCCAAGCATCTAACGCGTTATTCGAATGTTTCTGTTTCGGTCCCTGCCAGCGGTACGTTATCTTTTCGGTCACTTTGTATTTTTCACGTTTACATTACAATTACTACAATAGAATTCGCTGCACTTTCCTTGGCATCATTGTCTGTTATATGTGGGGTTTAACGTCCCAGAACAACCATATGATTATGAGAGACGCCGTAGCGGACGGCTCCGGAAATTTAGACCACCTGAGGTTCTCTGACGTGCACCCGAATCTGAGTACACGGACCTACAGCATTTTCGCCTCCATCCAAAATGCAGCCGCCGCAGCCGGAATTCGATCCCACGACTTGCGGGTCAGGAGCTGAGTACCTTAGCCACTAGACCACCGCGGCAGGGCTAATTGTTTGTTAGTTTTCATTATTATTGTGTGTAACAAAACGAAGAACGAGCCATAAAATTTACGCTTCTTTACTTTTCAGCATAAGTGACTTTTGAACGGAGAAAAGGAAGAAATAGGCGCAGTTCCGTTAGTGCCTCTCTCAATGGAGGATACCTCCACAGTTCTTCGCAGGGGATGGGGTAAGTAGGGATCAAGAAGGATAGGGAGGGATTAAAGTTAGAGATAGAGAGAGAAGCAGGAACAGCCACGTACGGAAGAGAGGAGAAGATAGGAAAGATGGACACGGTCGCAAAGAGTCTGAGGATGGGGCACCACTCGGCAAGACCTCTTGTCGGCGTCAGGAGATGGCGTAGGGCGAGCCAGTCGGCCACAGCTGCACTGACGTCGGAGATCGCGGGGGCACAACCGGTCGGCACGAAATCTAGCGAACGAGTCGAATGTAACTTCTAATGAACTTCAGGATGTGTCCGTTTCAAGTTCGGGGCTTTAAAAGCTGGCTTCTGACGACCCCTTTTGGGGGGATTAGAGGGCTTGTTAGCACTGAACACGTTGGAAGCACTTGCATAGGATAAGCCAGAACAACGATTATGCCCAAAGCACTGAATCGCCACTGGTGCGCTGTGCTATCGTTCCTCCACTCCCACTCCGGGAATGTTTCCAGTCGCTGACGAGTGAGCGAGAGGCGAGTGACGTCGGGGCAGGCGAGGTGATGACACAGCAGCGTTCGCACATTTGCGCGTAGATGCACGCGTTACGATGCATACATGGTAGATGTTCACGTGACGTCAGAGACGGGATGTCTCCTTTGGGTACCTATTCATGACGGCCACCGTTAACATTTTAGAGTGTCAGTGCAGGAAAGAACACCCAGCCGTTCCGTTCCGCGTTCTTTTGTGCTCCTCCCACCTTTCTCTCTTCACCAGGGGTGCCCAGCCTGGGTGAATACAAAGGAGCACGAGTGGACACCTGCACTAATCTGATACGACAAGTTTCTCGATTCGTACGTTCGAGTAAGAGAGAGTTCATGTACCGTCTCAACAAGCCGATACCCCGTGATGGCAGTGAATTCAATTCAAGCTATGCATGTCATCGCGCCGGTGGGAAACAAGGGCTTTCTTCGAGTTTATCAACTTCAGCACTCTTCTTTTTTTTTCGTCTTCTGACAAAACCGAATTTACAATCAGTGTGGCAACACCATTCAAAACGCTAACTGCGCTGGGTAGAGTAACTGCTGGAAGTCAACATCTGCTATCGCATTCCTTTCGACAGCTTTAGTACAACGAGTCGGTCTGCTGACAATCCTCGCACTGACACTAATCTACTAGTATCATTCTCCTTTGTTAACACTGATTTCGTGCGTTTGGAGAAAAGTACTTCTTCCAGCTCTTTGAAATTGCATCGAATCAACAGAAAAATCTTTCCCCATTCCACTTCGTAATTTCGCGCACACGTCAACTCAGACGTGGCGGATTTCGAAGGGTCGTGTCCTATTTGAAAGGCGATGGCGAAAATAATTTTTTTTAGAATTTCCGTACTGACGTTGCGGGTGGTACTTTGTTTATCGCATATCCTTGCATCTGAGTTTTTTAAAACCTGAACTAACTATACTAAGTGGAAATGCTCCAGACGTGGAGGCTTGTTATTCTAGTCTTAGTTCACCATAAAGAAGTGTATACGTGCACTACATTTCCAATTAGTCAGTTACTTATTACACTATAAGTGAACGACCCGGGCTTACCCAGAGCTCTGCAAAACGTGTGTGGGAGTGCAATCATTTCTTTGCAATACAATACTCTCTACTATATACGAAAGTACGCCGCCGCGGCTCTGCTGCCCACCCGAAGGTCGCGCGTTCGATCCCGGCCATGGCGCCCGCATTTCGACGGAGTCGAAGAGTTGTAGATGCCTGTGTAATGTGCAATGTCTGTGTACGTTAAAGAACACAAAATGGTGGAAACTTGTGAACTCTCCACTGTACGGCGTCTCTAATAAACATATCGTGGTTTTGGGACACAAAACATGGCATAGTACCGTCAATATTACTATAATGATATTATTAATATTACTAAAGTGTATACTACTACTACTACTACTACTACTACTACTAATAATAATAATAATAATAACAACTCTTTTACTGATTGAATTATTGACTGAATGAATATTATCGGTACTTCAATGCACTGTTTGTTCCAATATACCAGATTGTTGGATGTCGCCACGCCACAAGACGTCTCCCTTTCGGCGTTCTTGCGAAGAGAGCAGCCATGCAGCACAGAAAAGAGTCGCGTGTGGCGTGCGCACATTTATTTACAAGCAACGCCGTGATATGGACGCGTAATTACACACGACGCCACCGAAATCGTCGTTATGACAAAGTCCTGGACGTTAAAATGAACAACTTGTGTTTGTTACCTGTCTATCACGATTGCTACGTGCCCTCCTTTTACGCGCGATGTATGTACATCGGAAAGGCGTATACTTTAAATAAAAAAAACCTATTTTCCGGCAGTCGAGAAAACTTGGAAGTGTGCGCACGAAAGTAGACGCGCTGATCACCCCCCCCCCCCCCCCCCCGACGTCAGTTTGTCGCATGACCTGCTCAGCCAATGAAAGAACGCAGCTTTTCGTGATTGGCCCGGAAATGGCTTTGTTAGTTGGCGTGTCCTTTTTTATTTTGAAGTGGCACTGCGATTTTTATTTTATCTTCCCTCTGTCGACTCCGTTACTGAGGACAGAATGCTATATGGATGCTCTTACGGCTCGCAAGCTGAGTCATTTGGTATTGCCTTGTACTTCATGGGAATCTGTAGCAAGCAGAAAACCATTAGCATTCAATGGACGTAAAGCTACGAATAGTCTAATCTGATGTTTTGCAAATCAACTCGCGCAGTAAACTATCTTTTTCTCTCACACAACTCACGTTCTTGCCGTTCCTTTCTTTCGTCTCCCCTTTCCTTCGTTTCTCCTTTCCATTACGTATGAGTTCGGGCTTGACAGGTTTATTAGGGCACTGAAAGACTATATAATACGGGATGTGACGCTCCCGTGTGAACAAGCGCTTATGTTTATAAAGAGAGAGAAGAAAATAACTTGAGCAAAATCCACCTATAGAGATTGCTGCGAGTCTTTCACAAACCTCTCAAAAGTTTCACGATCCTCTCAGGGATCTGTCGCAAACTGTGAAACGGCTTGGTATTCTCTTTCATGGCTCCTTCGAGAAGAGTGACCATCTCTTTTCCGTTAAAAGTTTACCTTCGCACGTCCGTTTCTCATAATCAGATAGATGTGCGAAGAACGTTTACAGCTGGACAACCGATTAAGAAAGGTATGTGAAGTCGAGGTTTGTTAAGCGAATTAGATGGCAACTCTTCGCGAGGGTCATGAACTTTATAACTTCAGATGTTCGAACGGTCGTCAGCTGTGCCGTGTCTACAAAACTGTTAAGCACGTACAGTGATATGCTCGAAAAGTAGGGGAAAAAAATAAGGAAGAGAAACAGAATCCAGCAAACATCTTAAAAACACTGAAAGAAGTGAACCCGCTTAGTAATATCAACTTCCTGGTAACGAAAAGAAACGCCAAGCTGTCCTCCTTCCAATCGGTTGCGATTAACCGCTTCGAACGTTGTCGCCAAAAATGCACTTAGCCCCGTATTCAGAAACGCTCCTCGACTCGAATTCCGTCCTTCACTTGACTGAGTTGCGCACTGCGCCACTGCTCGACTGAAATTGGCGCTGTTCTTGTCAAGAATCGCAGCAGAATATTGCCGATGTGCAGTGATTTGGTCTCCCTAGAGACGGCGCTCCCATCGGGTGAAGGTGAAGCATTGAGTGAAGGAAGGTTCTGGAATACGGCGGTTAGGGTTCAATCGACATCACCACTGGGGTGGCTTAGCAGTGATATGACGCTGCGCTCGATACGAAGTATGCGTGATGAGACGGGTAATACTTCCTGGCGGAATCGAAAAACGCATGTGCATTTAATCAATCAATCAATCAATTAAAGAACTTTATTTTCACCAAAAACAAAAACATTTACGGTGAAAAAAAGTGGCCGGGAAAAAATCTGTCAAATGACAGCTTGACGAAGCCCCAGCCACCCATCGGCGGCGAAACGACCGGGTACAGCACCTGATAAAAGTGGGGCAAAAATGCATATTATTAGTCACTAAACAGTTACAAATTGATATCTTAGTGCATTCACTATATACGGGCGCAGGTGCACTACAAGGTCAAATGTATCTAATTATACGCTTGCTAAAGATAAATAACGAGGAAAAAAAGAAAAAAACGAAAAGAAAAACAAGGACACAAAACAAAACAAAAAGTAAAACAAAACCAGAGAAGAAGAAAAAACAAAAAATGGAAAAAAATATAATAGGCAATTCAAGTACATTAAAATGTACAATGCGCAGTTATATACTGATATGCATACGCATATGATTCACATAGATATTTATATATATACATACATCATATGAATAATGAAGGAAAAAGGAAAACACAAATAACTTGCGAAACACGTGTATACTCCAATATTGGAAAAGGCAAGTTTGTTATGTTAACATACTTCTAATTTCTTTTTTTGTGTGGAATAAAACGTCTGTTCCTTGCGTTTAGGTTTGAGAGCTCGTTAAAAAGCTACTGGTTGTCAAAGGTATTGTGAATGGAGAGGCGAAGAGAACAGGGAAATCAGCTAGACGAATAGTGTCCCGGTTAATATACTAGATATAGCCAGGAAAGTACACGAAAATAGTCTAGTTTCTCGGCTGTAACTAGCACTTTAAGTGGGACCTGATTATGAGTAGACGCACGGATGGGACTATAAGTGAGTTTAAAAATAGAGGAAAACACAACTAACAACACATGTGTACAGCGCAGCGTATCTGCAGGTGATAACCCAATTTATCAGTTACCCCCGAGAACCGCAGAAGCGCTCGTTTGCGAAGCCCCACGTCGTATATACGGCGTTTCTCACAATGATCCCGTGCTTGGAGCACGTAAATCTTAATCAGCTCTCCTCCGAACCCCTTTGGTAAAACCGAAAGGTAAAGCAAAACACCGGAATTCAACTTAATCAGTAGTATACTAGAAGGTTTTCGCGACGTTTTTGAGGACTGTTTGTTCGTGCACCACTCCCTCCCACATTCTAAAGTGACTAAGATGAGATGTATCCAATGTCGGATGCGATGCAGCTATTGTATTTTTTTATCACCAGCAGACAATACCGATTCACTTATGTCGGTAAATTGCTTCTATCCGCTCTTACAACGGCATTGACATTCTCATATATACTCACCACAACGATTGTGTCGCGATTGCATCCTATCAATTCTATCTCCCAACTTGGTCTTCTTGCGAACAAGTGGGGCGACGAAAACGACTCGTGAAACTATAGGAAGGCTTCAAAGCCCCCTCCCCCCTGTTTTTTTTTTCGATTTTGCGTATACCATGTACATACGCACAGATAGAAACACACGCATAAATATATTAAAGTATATTACACTCACCACCCTCCCACTCCCCAAAAAAGTTTCTGCCTATGCCCCTGATGAAAACTACAGAGTAGACAGGTATCGCGCTTGCGTCTAATATATATATATATATATATATATATATATATATATATATATATATATATATATATATATATATATATATATATATATATATATATATAATTAGGAATAAAGGAGCACACTTACGAAAATTTGATAGTTGTTTACTCTTCGTTTTCGGCCGTGGCACGGCTTTTGTCAGGATTAACGACTGACGAAGGCCGTGCCACGGCCGAAACGTAGAGTAAACAACTAATTTCTTTTTGAATCATATATATATATATATATATATATATATATATATATATATATATATAACTAGGAATAAAGGAGCACACTTACGAAATTTGATAGTTGTTTACTCTTCGTTTTCGGCCGTGGCACGGCTTTTGTCAGGATTAACGACTGACGAAGGCCGTGCCACGGCCGAAACGTAGAGTAAACAACTAATTTCTTTTTGAATCATATATATATATATATATATATATATATATATATATATATATATATATATATATATATATATATATATATATATCGTTGCTCTCCTCTTTCTGAGAAGAATGTAAGGGGTTATAGAACGCAATGTATTTGCCCGCGCAAATGAGTAGCCTACTTTACAAATGGGATTCGATACGCACAACTGCACATGAAGCGACTGGAGGAGATAATATTACACTTTAATGCTCCTTTAAAGTAGGACGACTCCTGGTGATAAGCAGACAGCGCTCTCGCCTGCGGTCGTTTATCATCCACCACACGACACATTTTTTTTTTGTCGTCGTTGTTGTTGTTGTCGCTTTTGCTGCGACTGCTTGCGCAACCTAGTACTGTCGCCATTTTCAGCCTGTTATAGGCCAGTGCATGACGATGGACTCGACCAATAATCTCCAGCTTGCCCTATTCTCAGCGTGCTGATTTTATTTCATCCCTGCGAAGTTGTTAATTTGGTCACTCCGTCTAGCCTTTCTCGTAAGCATTTCCCATCACTTGGTAATCATTGTGTTGCTCCTATATTGTCCACTGGTTGGCTGTTGCATTACGTGTGTTGCCCAGGTCCATTTATCTCGCTTGATGTCTCTACGACATTTGCAAGGCCTGTTCGTTCCCTTAGCCATTCTCCCGTGCTCCGATTAAGGATACTCCTATCATTTTCGTTACATTGTTGCGTCGTCTCCAACTTATTCTCTAGTTGCTTTCATATTGGATTGGATAAACTTTTATTTGGTCCTCCAAAACACAGATCACTGTGTTGCGGGCAGCTCCCACGTGGGGACTGAGATGCCAAGCTCCTCAGCCGCCTCGCGGGCTTGGTGGACAGCCCAGAGCTGATCTGCCAAGTCATATGTCTCGACATCTATTGGCAAATATATATTCGTGATGATGTTATGGGCTGAAGTTTATAGACCCTTTCACTGTTTACAAACACAGGCTCGTGATGACATCCGGTTTTCGACACCGCTCTGCCTTATTAGCATTGGGGTGGGGAGGGGGGGGGGGGTAGAAGAGCGTTAGAAAATAGCTCGCCAATTTTTTACACTTTCCTTCCCTTATTTGGCAAAATATATTCAAATAACTGTTCTTTTGAGCTACATGAATGTTTTAGGAGATTCTCTTGCACATTACACACGTTATTTTTATCTGAAAAAGTAATAGGAGACGTTCCTCTCCCTTGAAGAAACGTGAAAACGTCCTTTCAGTTTCGACTTTGGGAGCTGGTAAATGAGGCGACCGGAAGTTTTGTTGGGCCACAACGCCTGCAATCTTGAAACCGTCTATAGACCCATTCCACGTTTGTAAACACAGGTAGGCCAATGTCGACATTGTGGGTAAAATTATAGTGACGTCCGCACGTAATTTCCGCCATAAGCGCCGAGGGCTGCGATTGTGCGCCAACGAACAAAACTAAGTTGCGAGACGCGACTCACATCCAACCTCGACGCAGTTCGTCGGCATACCATTTTTTTCCCTCTCGTTGCTTGACTGAGAACACCGCATGCATTATTGAAAACTCGGCAGAAACTGCGGTAGGCAGAGCGGCTTTTGCCTACCAAGACAGCGCCACCACCGCATTTTCGTGATGTAAGTCCGGTGGAATTTGTCTGTACGGTCTGCAGCTTGGGCCGAAAGTCACGGTTTTTTGTCTATACGGTCTGCAGCTTGGGACGAAAGTCACGGTTTTTTGTCTATACAGTCTGCAGCTTGGGACGAAAGTCACGGTTTAGAGCCCGGCCGATGTCACACGTACACCTTCGACAGCGAGCGAGCGAGCACGGTTTTTGAGAGCGCGCGCACTGTTTTTGCGGGTCGGTCGCCGACTCGCTCTTCTTCGAGCGTGCGTCGTTTTGGCGAAGAATCCCGCAAGCGAGCGCACTCGCACAACGTCCTCGCGTGGCGCTGGCGGGAGTTTCGGCGCCGACGACGTCGCACGTGTGTTTGTTTCGCATTACTTCCGTCCTCGTCGCCGCACGAGCCCGCGCGAACGGCTGGCGTCGCTCAGGCGCTGAGAAAGACGCCGTATCGCGTTGCGTCACGTCGCCGGCGGACGGGTGTCCTCGCGTGCCTGGGGAGGTCTCGTCGCGTGTGCCGCTTGCCTGCTCGTTGCATGCGATGATCGCCTTACAGGAAACCCGGTCGACCGACTGCGAGGCAGACGGTTGCGGCCCCGTGTCGCTGAGGCCTCCGTCTCTGGCGCAGCCGCTCCGGCGTTCGTTGTTGGTCGCTCATATTGCAGGGCGAGCGCCACCTAAAGGCATAGGCGTGCGCACAGGGGACGCAAGGAGGGGGGGTCGCCCCCATAGAGCTTCCTACAATACTTACTAGAGGGAACTCTGGCGCTAGTGTCTATTGGAGCTGCAATGCACGGCGCTTCAGCGAGCACAGGAATGACGGGTAGTACACACATTTGTCTAATATTTGTACTTCTGACCTGCTTTTGGCTCCGCGTGTGTTCATGTGGCTTGGAGATGTTTTCTTACGAAACAAGTACTAGCAAATGTTCAGCGGTTGCGCTTCACCATTTTATTTTTTTTAGACTTACTTTCCAAAATCAGCTCACGAAGTTCAAAAGGGTTCAATTTTTCTTTCAAAACAAAACCGAAACACGGCAATAAACGAAGCCACAAGTAAGATTCGCCACCCGCAAGTACGAAGACTAGGCAAATGTGTGTACTACCTATCATTCCCATGGTCGCTGAACGATCCCAGCGCCAGAGTGACGGTTGATTTTGAGAAGCTCTATGGTCGCCCCCTCCCTTCTGATCTAGGGCTGACAGCCCTGTCAGGCCTATACATCGACGTAATATAGGGAGGGGGGCGCTGCGATCAACCTTCGCCCCCCTCCCTCTCCGCAAGAGGAAAAGCCCTGCGCACGCTTATTCCAAAACGTTGTTATACGTCTGTCAATATAGGCTCCACCCAGAGACATCACTGTGCTTCATTCGCAAATAATTTGCATAGACGCACTACACCCAATCGCGTTTGTTCATGTGGCGTGTCGTCAAGCAGAGCGACCAATTAGGTTTGTTTTGTTCGACATATCGACGAATTAAACAGAGCAGATTCTGACGGGAA